TATATATATATATATATATATATATATATATATATATATATATATATATATATATATATATATATATATAAACCATTCACACAAGTATTCAGACCTTTTGCTATGACACTCGTAATTAATTTCAGGAAAGGCATACCTCTGCTTATATAAAGCCCCACATCTGACAGCGTGTCAACAAAAAAAAACTATCCAAGAAGCCAAAGAAAGTTTCTGTATTCCCCTGAGACAGAATTGTTTTGAGATCTAGGGAAGAGGAGAAACATTTTCTGCAGGACCTTCATATTTTTGCAGGTTTGAGGTTCCCAAAGAACACAGTGGCTTCCATTATTTTTAAATGATAGAAGTTCAGAACCACACTGTAAAAATGAACAATGGAAATGACTAAATGAAATGAATCATCACTACTCAAATTTGTTTAAATGGCATATTTACTTATCTGAATTATCAGAACTCAGTAACTGAACACTCTTTGAAGAACTCAATCTGACTGAATTACTTCATTTGTGTGTGAAATTTTAAGTAAGCACAACTCATGTGACTCATGTTTTAATAACTCAAATAATATTACTTTAAACCTAGACTAAACCTTCTTATTTCACATTTCTCCTCAACATCTCATACAAGAATCCTTGTTGGTGTGTTCTTTCAGTTAACTTCAATTCAGTTAGCTAAAAATAGTGAACAATATAGGCCAGAGGTATTTTTCCTGAAGCAGTACAGCAATGCTTCTTATCCACCCTGACAGAGCTTGAGAGGTTCTGCAGAGAGGAATACAAAAGGATCCAGGTGTGCCAAGATTGTAGCATCATACTCAAATACTTAAGGCTGTAATTGCCAGTGGGCTTGAAAACTTGTGTAAATATGAGAAATGAAACTGTGAAAATCAGATTATTCTTTTTGTTTCTTTAGGGAGAATTTTTGCAGTTTGATGAGAAGCCTATAAATGATATAAAGTCAAAATAATAATAATAATAATAATAATAATAATAATAATAATGTCAACTGGATAATGGAAAGTTCAGGAATAAAAGCTTTCTGGCTCCAATGAATAGCCAATATATTATTGTACAAGACTAAAATTTGAATTACGTTCAGCGCGGTCCATGATATTTATTTTAGAGTTAAAGGGTTCACTGGTTGTAAAACGTTTGAGAATACCTGTATTAGACAACATAATGAAATAAGGGCTCGAAAAACCAACTTAGACAAAAGGGAAATCTAACAAGAAGCAAAATTATGACACTATTATGATTCTATTACATAAATTTATAACTCTACTCGGTAGTTTTTGCTGTCTACCAAATGACAAAAAAAAAATTAAATGTAACTTTAGAAATGAACAATGTTTAAGATTCTGAAGCATTTATAGCGACCCTGCACGACCCTGCACTCATTTTCATTCACAAAATAACCCGACAAGTAAAAGGTAAATTGCTGAAACCTGAACTGAGTTTAGGATGTGCTGTTTCTCCTTTAGCTCTGCAGCTTCAGACTCCCCCTGTTGTGTAGCCTCTACAAGTGCACTGCAGAGGGTGAACTCCTGCTCACTGTCAAAGGAGAAAACAAAATAAACGAGTGAGTGTGAATGAGCATAATAGATGTAGAAGTTGCAGGGCATATCTGTGTCTTATCTAATCTTTTGTGTTCTTACACAATATGTTCTTTTTGGGTTCTTATTACACCCGTGTTTGCAACGAAACTGTAATATTACATACTTACTAGCTAATGGCTAGCAAGGATTGCCTTTAAAAAAAAAATGCAGCTACCTAAAGTTAGGTACATTAACGGGCAGAGTTATAATTATTTTAACGAATAAACTAATGTCTTGGTAATATTTGGTTTTATCTATGAATTTTAATGCTTATAGAAAATTTTATTGTGTACCTGAAGGATCTTTTCTTGCTGGACATAGTTAGCTGTCTGACTCTAGCTATAAGGTAGCTCTTATTTTGGACCGAAGAGTAAGCGCGTGAGTTATGTGATGGAACGGACAGTGCAGTGAGATGTGGGGATCAGTGTCCAAATGAACATCCAGAACAATCTAATTCATTCATTCATTAGAACCACCAAACTTTGCATGTATTTGTTTTTATTATTATTATTATTATTATTATTA